GGGTTATGCTAATTAGTTCCCCTAGCTCTTTTTCTACGAAACGACCCCTGCATGAGGTGCTAAATTTTTTTTTATCATAGCAATAGAATGTGGACAGGCCGGGGGATGAGGTACTTCTTTCTTTGTCCCATTGTGTTTTTTTAATCCATGTGAAAGGGGAATCCTTAACATTTCCTCCACGTAAAGTCACCAACCTCAAGGAGGTCCTGGAGATCTCCCAGAATTACAACTGATCGCCAGACTACAGAGATCAATTTCTCTGGAGCAAATGGCTTCTTTGGAGGGTGGACACGATCGTATGCCATAAAATCTAGGAGAAATAAAAGCCCTTTCCCAAGTCTCCTGGACTTTCCCAACCCAGAGTTGGCGATCCTACATAAGAGTAAAACAGCTTGGGAGAGATTGGGGGGGGGGGGGGGAAAATGGTTAAGCCCAGGGCTTTTTTTGTAGAAAAAGCCCAGCAGGAACTAATGAGCATAATAGGCCACACCCAACAGCAGACAGTCATTAGCATATTAGGCCACACCCCCATGCGTTCCCTTGGCTTGCCCAGGCACCCCGCAGCTGCAGGGAGCCCAGGCTAGCCAGCCGTTGGACAGGTCAGGGAAGTCACATTTAAATGCCTCCCTGATCCTTCCAGGCCTCCCACCTCAGAGTCGCTGGTGGGGGGGCGCTATCCAGGCCTTCCCTCTTTAGCCACTCACACAGAGGTTTTGGCTGTACAGGTCGTGGCCAACTCTGAAGCCAGCCGGAACTCCGTTCCTGTGCATTCCTGCCCTGGTTAAGCCCCCTCTCTCCCCACACCACTGCTCCCATCCCAGGCTCCCTCCCCACTGCATTTTAATTTCTTTAAAATGTGGGGAGGGATGAGGTCTTCCGTTTCAGACATAGATTGATTCTCACTTGAAGGGAGATGGTGCTTTTTCAAAACTGGCAAAAAAAATTATTGTTCCCTATACTAAAAAGTTCTTGGAATATTGGCCATCCCTTTACTGGACAGACCAGGCCTTCTAAGGTCACTGTAGAAAAACAGATACCTGCAGAGGTCACTCGCCTGTTGACACTGGAGGGGCAAAGGGCAGGCAAGGCTGCACAGTGGCTGGGAGCGAAAGGCAAGGAGGGGGAAGAGACGTCATCCTCACTAGCGACAGCTCTTTCACTGCAAGAATGCCCCTCCGCAGCAAGAAGAGTGCCTCCTGGACAGAGAACAAGCCCTGGGTTATACAAGGCCATAGCAAACAAGACACAGCACTCTCTGATGGGAGGGTCTGTCGAGGAAACTCTCCCTGTAGTTTCCCTTTTATTATGGAATGTTAGTTCACATACACTGTTGCCAGCCCTGCACAGGCAACCCATGGGAGTTTGTAGAGGGTGGAGTCAGGCGAGAGGGAGCATCGCATGCATGATGATGTCACTCTCAGCGGTGACATCACCATGCTGTGCTGTGATGATCTAAAAATTTCCCCCCAATGTCTATGGAAAAACCATTGAGATCAGGGAAAATTCTAGAGAGCTGCACAATATGGTGACATCACTTTCTGCTCTTCAACCAAAGGTGACATTATTGCATCATGCAACACTGTTTCCCCTACCCTTTTTTCTCCCACTGCTGAGATCACTGAGAGTGGGTAATAGAGGGTAGGGAAAAGAGCTTGCTTGGTAACTAGGGATAGGCACAAACCTTGTCACGAACCTAATTTCATCACAAAATCACCTGGTTCACGAACCTCAGCTTGTGAGATTGTGTCTCCCGTGAACTGCCCCTGAACTGTCCTGTTTTTCACTGAGGTTCATGAGGTTCATGTCAGCGGTTTGTGCGGCAGACATGCTGGCACCAATTAATTCATGTCAGAGCAATGGGGCATGGGCTTGTATACAGCACAGCTTGCAAGCCACATACGAGTGAAGTCACCACTTGGATGTCACTTGTGCGTGGCATGGTTTACAAAAAGCCATTATTGCATCACAAAACACATGAAACAAATGGGTTAATTAAGCAGGAAGGCTCATGAAGCCACTACAAACCATGAACCGTAACGAACCTAAATTTTCCCAGTTTGTGCCCATCCCTAGTGGTAAACCTATCACATAGCCAATATGTAAGTAGTTAAGTGCTTTTAATGGCAGCAGGTCAGCCAAATCCTTTATCCTTCTCACATTTGGTATTCTAGTCCATGTCAGGGAGGTGACTGCTTGAAATCGTCTAGATTCACAAGCTAATTTTGATATTTATTTATTTATTTATAACATTCATATACATGGCTTTCTCCCAAACATTTCAAAAACTAAGGTGGGAATAAAATGGGGAGATGGAATGGGTGAAGTGGCACAGAACTATGTTTGGACAGAACTATGTTTTGCTTTTTCCATGGGCTTCAGCATCTACGACAATGGTTCCACCATACCCATCATGGAGCTCAACAATATACCTAAAGTTCCCAGGAATTTAGCCATCCAAGAGAACAAAAGTTTCTTCAGGGTTGCTTTATCCTGTACTTTACACCCATATCTTAGAACTACAGACCTGTCTAGCCTGGGCATAAAATGACTCTTCCCCTAGTGGGAAGAGCTCTGGGCAGGCCCACTGCCCCATTTTGATCTGTCTGCTTCAATCCAACCTCAAGGTCCCCCTGCTCATCACATTCATCACCAGCCTCTGGGTATTATACTGCAGAAAGGGAAAAGTTTGTGTGGCAAGAGTATGTTGCTTGGATCACCCATATATAAAGGACCTGACACATCTATTAAGTTGCATGTTATTTCGAACAATGCATTTGGATAAGAGGGGTATCTATGTATATATATTTCATATATAATTCATAAATGATCATGCTTGGATTTTGGCTGATCTTCATGGGATGGAATTTTCATATCGTGAGACAATACTTGGGAACACCCGTTCTACATTTTGGTGCTGTCAAAACACGGATGAAAGGTGAGGTGTACCTCAGAACTACACTACATGAACACAGAAATAAACTATATTGGGTGAAAGGCTTAGCATGCTGGAAAACCTCACCCATCTTTTCAAAAGCAAGATTCTAGTCCTTAAGGCTCTGGGTGGCCTTGCAAAGCCTTGAAAACACCTAATGGAAGCTTTTTAAAAAGAAGGGACTAAAGAGGGTTTTCATGCATCATGGATTCAGTGCCTTCCATAGCTTTCTGTTTCTCTTTGCTGTGATGAATGGGAAGGCCATTTGCAACATCCTTTGCAATTTGGAAAATAATGAATTTGTCCCTATCTGCCAATAGTAATCTGCCTGCTTTTTTGCACTGTTGCAAGCCACCACTTTCTGCTTATGGAGAAGGACTCAAGGAGGGAAAGGGACACTCTCCTAGAGGTAGCCCTAGACGGGCTTTGTTTTCTAAAATGAGGGGGCTTTAACTCAGTTGCAGAACACATGCTTTGCAGGCAGAAGGTCCTAAATACAGTCCTTGTTATATCTCCTTGCAGGTAACAGGGCTAACAATGAATTTGAGGCTCTTTGTAGTCTCTGGAGAGCTTCTACCAGTCAGTAAGAACTAGCATGGTACAGCAGTCAGTGTGTTGGAGATGCAGGGAGACTTGGGTTGAAATCACTCAACCATGAGAGTCACTGGGTAACCTCAGGCCAAGCACTTTCTCCTAGAGGATAAAATCAGCTTAGGGGAGAACTATTTATGCCTCCATGAGCATCTTGTGATAGACAGATGCAGAGTAAATACCAGTGGTCTAGATGGACCAATTGCTTAGGCGGCATCATATGTTCATATATGGATGTGTACAGACTTACATAATAGAAGCGGCTGAGCCGCTATGGAACGAGACTCACCCTTTTTTGGTCAAATTTACAGTCTCTAAGCACATTATATAAGTTCATGATACCTATCTATCGGCATTGACCTAAGAGCAACCTGTTCCCTTGTTTCCGGCAAAAGCCAGCTATGCACAGCACTGTCCGGTTGTCATTTGTGATATCACAAATGTCTCCGCCTGAGTTTTTCAAGTTAAAAACAAACAAACTTGAGTTTGTTGCTGAACAAAACTGGGCATTTTTAAAAAAAGGTGAACAGGAACATCTGCGTTGAATTTGGAAGCAAGCATGCGTATCATTTGAGATGTGAAGGAGAAGGAAGTGGCAAGGGGGGAAACGTAAGAATACCTATTTGCATGTTTATTTTGATACACCCTATGTTTATATACTGCTCTCACTGGGGTATCAGGCACCAAAAAGAATACAGATTAATGCTCAATGTGAGCAGCGATTATGACTGGGGAAACCTTCTGGGTTATATTGTTTTGCCCAAATAACTCGTAATTGTTTGCCAGTGATCTTAGGGTGCAACTAGATGTTCCAAGAAAAATGGAGTTGCTGGCACTCCGTATTTCTTTACCCCTTTTCCAGTGGACATGTCATATAGCACAATTCACAACACGACATCACTGTGTTCTCCGCTTCACCCCACCACTAACAGCCAGTTATGTGATCCGCGGCAGCGAACTGCGTGGCTCGATGGCATCATGTCACACCATGCACACTCTGTCCTCGTAAACATCGCCGAGGAAGCCAGCAGCTTGGGTGATTAACCTGAGTGAAAGCTATGGCAGCTTGGGTGATTAACCTGAGTGAAAAAAAATACCATGCTGGAATTCCATCATCTTTGATCGGTCCTCTGCACCTGCCTGCTCCTGCCCACTTTGGCCGCTGCGCTGTAATCCTCATATATCAAGTCCCCAGACAAAAACCAGAGACGCCGCTTAGAACAAATGCTGCATGCCGAATGCTTTGTATAGGTATTATGGTTTCCTGAAGCAGTGCAGCCGTTCGACACCCCCCTACCCCACCCCCATATCTGATATACCTTTGCAACCTGCCGGACTGCGCTGGGGAAAACTTACAGGCAACGACTTAATTGTTTGAATATCGGGACTCTACCCTCTGTAGCTCAGGTAAGGAAGGTGACCAGGGCTAGGTCCTCCACTGCTCTCGCTGGCACCACGGACTGCACCTGGCACTTACCCACTTCCTGCTGCACTGCTGAAGGACCTCTGGGGTGCCCCGGTCTCTTCCTCTTGCTCCTGCTGCTGTCTGGTATGACCGTGTGGAGTGCAGCTGGGGTGTCTGCCAGGCATTACCAGGCTAAGCGTGACGCTCCGCCTCTTCTCCTGTGCCACACGCCCCATAGAGCTGCAGTCCGAACAGGAGGGGGGAGCGCAAGGGAGGGGATTGTCATCTATCTCTTCAGGACAGATGAAAGAGTGAACATACCAGGCAGGCCGCTCCGCCCGATAGCGTTCAGGCCAGGCTGTGGCAACTGCCAGGATATCTCACCCAACAGGGCTCCTGGGCTCCTGTTCCTGGGGCTTCGAAGGCCTTTCACCCCTTTCCCATAGTCCTCTGCCATGCCCCATAATCCTTCATGCTGGTACTTGTGATACAGTGACATCCTGTGTCCATCTATCTTCATTACAGGGGGAGGGGGGAGAAGCCAATTAGAAAAAAGTCCTCATCTGTGTGTGTGTGTGCGTGCGTGCATGCCCCATGATGCCCTTTCTTCCCTAGTGTGGCAGTTGAAAAGCACGAGGTAGCCTACAAGACAGTCCTTTCTGTGACCTACTGAGAGCTGGCCACCTCACAAAGGGGGGTTCCCATGGTGACAAGCCTGCTGTAGCTTACCTCACAACTGCAATAAAAACCAAGCCAGATGAGAGAGAGGCCGGAGCCCAAGAAAGCCAATACTTCTCTAAGGAAGATGGATCTTCTTTACTGAGGGGGAAGAAATGAAGCAGCTGGAGCTTTGGGGCAGGAAAGACAACTAAGCACATGGAAACGATTTATAGGACTGTGACTTGTGCAGAGGGAATTCACGAGAAGAACCTGCTGCTCTCTCAAAATACTCAAATGTGGGGTTATCCTATGAAAGTGTTTTGCACAAAGTTCAAGATGGATGATATATCCTTTTTAAAAAGGCACGACGAGAGAGAAAACAAGACCACTGGGGGGGGGGGACGAAAACAGTTCTGGAGAAATTTGGAACAAACCCAATTTGATAGACATACAGTGCACTCCTAAGAACATTTTATTGGGAATATATTTAGCTATCCTAAACAGGACTACGCAGAATGCTACTAAGGTCCACTCAGTGGGGCTTACTCCCCAGAAAATGACCTTGAGATTAAAAATATAGCTAATTTCCAAAATGAGATATTCCATGCAACATGACCTCTGAAATTCTGTCTCAGTTCCAGATTTATCAGGACTACTTGTGGTTTCTTGGAGGCAATGGAAACATGCTCTGCCCATACTCAGAGGCACACCTCACATATTCTTGGGCTGGATCCTGGTGTACAAACCATGTTCTGGAGTTTAACCCCCTGGTTTGGATTAAGCCCTGCAGCCAAGTGAATCGAGATTTTCAGCCACATGCCACTGTCTGCCTGATTGTAACAGGATAACCTTTGGGGAACAGCATCTGCTGAATTCCAAAATTTCAACTAACCACTTGAGGGATGACCAGGACTTTTGTTGGTCTGGGCAAAACCATGGCACTTGACATACCTGTACTGTTCCCTGTATGCTATGATAGCCAATAGATATGCTATATGCAAAAGAACTTGGAAAAATGAGTCACGATTTGGCCCCTTCACTCAACTCTGATTTATGGCTTCTTTTAATGCAGACAGGCAACAAGAGCCCCATAATGTAGTCGGATAATTTTCCCCCAGAAAGGCTCAGAGTAGTTCCTCAGAATTATTCCTCAGTCCTGTTTTATTCTTGCAATAAGCCAATACGGAAGGGACCCCCAACCTTGTTGACCCTGTAGGTGCTTTTGGAATTTAGAAAATGAATAGTGGGCACTGCTACAAAATGGCTGCCATGAGGGGTGGGGCCAACAACGAAATGGTTCAGTGAAGGGTGAATTCCCAGGTCAAGCTGCAAACTCTGCCAACCTGTACTGTTCTATAGTCATGGATGACAGCAAGATGCCTGTAGAATTCTTGACTACTATTCTGCCAGCTGTTCTGCTGAAACCTCTACTTCCTTCCCTTCACCATCCACCTTCTAGTTCTGGAATCCCATGGGGGAAACAGCTGGAAGAATAATAATGAAGCACTATTAAGTACTACTACTTCACTAATAAAGTGCTTACTCCCAACAGCACTTTGTGTAATGGGGATAGACTTGTACAAAGTCTGCCAATATTGGGGTCACATGGCAGCAGACACAATATTCATTTCTTTATACATATGGCGAATCTGAGCAGTTAGACCCATCTGGAAGTGCCCAAAAGGAGGCTTGTCCAAGAACCCCATTAGGACATGAGTGTTACAAAGAAGGCACTGGCATTTTGGCAGCCAGATTGTTTCCTCAGAAACTGGAGCCAGCTGTGTTTCAGTGCCACGCAGCATTTCAAGAGGGGCAACCTTTTGTTATCCTCCAATCTGAAGAGTCCAGATTGCAGGCAATCTTCTGGGTCCATCTTCTTGGCGCCTATCCCTAGCATCGTATCTCTTTTCGCTCTGCTCTCTAATGGAGGCTGGGCTCTTCCCCTGCAAGTGCTAATCTCGTCATTCAGCTGGTTAGCACAAGAGCAGGTGGATGGGAACGTTCCCAAGGTGCAAAGAGGCTCTTCCATCAGCACTTGCGCACGAGACCTGGAAAAGTCACTGTTTGCCTTGAAGGCATATTTGATCTTTGGGGTGGGGTGGTTGGGAGAGATATCCAGGACTGAATTTCATGGAGTTAGCACAACCTTTTAGGTGTCTATTCGATTTGAAGTGCTGTTGTAATTCCTATCTGTGCAGCCAACTTTGGATCCAGACCAGCTGTTCTAGTGTGGAAGAATGTGCTGGTTCCCCATCACCACCTTGTTTGGGTTTTTTTTTTAAAATGCCTCCATGGCCCAAAGAGTAGTCATATCAATAATGTGCAAAAAGGAAGAAGAAGATACGAACCCAAAAAACCTTGTGTTAAAAACTGGACAGCCAGTCTTAAGCATGTTTACTTAAAAATAATTCTCACCTTGTGTAAGTCCCAAGGAACAGACCTAAGTAGTAGGGTTACCAGATCTGGGTTGGAAAATACCTGGAGACCTTGGGGGTGGATCTAGGAGAAGGTGGGGTTTGGGAAGGGGAGAGGCTTCAGCATCACACAATACCATAGAGTCCACCCTTCAAAGCAGCCATTTTCTCCAGGGGAGCTGATCTCTGTCAGCTGGAGATCAGTTGTAAAAGCAGGAGATCTCCAGGCTCCACCTGGAGGCTGGCAACCCTACTAAGTAGTGTTCTAACTAGACCTGCTTAGGATTGCTTTCTTATTCTTTCAAGTGTACTTAGGATCACAGCCTTAGCCAGTCTCCAAGATATCCAAAACCCTCAAAGGGTTGCCAGCTCCTGTTACCACCTTCTGTTTTGCGCCTGTTACAGCAGCTTGATGGGTAGTCATTAGCAGGTGATAATGCTAGTCTCCAGGCTGTGAAAAACTTCACCTGCTAATTCCTGAATAACAAGTTGCTACCAGGCCTGCCCTCCTTCTCTCCCAATGGAGTGGAAAGTCTACCACCCAAGCAAGGAGTTCCTCCTGCTCCATGGAAGTTTCTGTCACTTGCTTTTGCTCAACGCTATTGGGATTCACCATCATCCAAATATGTTATTGAGCTTTTACCCTTTATCTGGCCCAATTCCCCTTGGAACTACAGCGTACAGAAACAGGGGGCTTAGATTTTTCCCACTAGGGTAGCCAACTCCAGACTGGGAAATTCCTAGAGATTTGGAAATGGAGACTGGGGAGGGCAGGATTTGGGGAGGGGGGACTTTAGCAGGGTATAATGCCATATAATACACCCCACCCACCCCCAAAGCAGCCATTTTCTCCAAGGAATTGATCTCTGTAGTCCAGAGATCAGTTGTAATTCTGGGAGACCTTCAGGCCCCACCTGGAGGTTGGTAAATCTACTACCTGAACACCATTTTCCTAACCTGAAATGGTCTTGTGGTCCACTACTTGCCCCTTTAGGGTCTCTACAGACAGCCCCAGGGAATCTGAGGAAGTGAGCAATGACCAGAGGTCATTTCGGGGGGGAACGCGGGGGAACACAGTTCCCACGGGTGAGGTGCAGGGGGCGGGGCACATGATGAAGCCCCGCCCCCTGCTTCCAGCCGCCCCGCTTCCAGCCCTCCTTCAGCCAGGAGGAGGCAGGAGAAGAGGGAGGGTAAGTTGCTTCTCCCCGCCTCTCCCCACCCCTGCCTGCCTGGGGCCAGGGAGGGCCTTGGCGGGGCTTCCTTGCACTCCCGCTGGCCTTGCAGGTCCACCGCCGGGCCCCTGATGTCAGGGGGTGTGGCATATGCTAATGAGTTATGCTAATGAGTTCCCCTAGCTCTTTTTCTATGAAATGACCCCTGGCAATGACTCACAAAAGCTCATACCCTACCACAAATTCTGTTAGTCTTTAAGGTGCTACTGGACTCTTTTATACTGCTACAGACAAATGTGGCTACCAATCTTGGTTTATTCCCAGGGGCCACTTTAGGAAAACAGGTAAAGGTAAAGGTTCCCTTGCTTGAAAGCTAGTCAAATCCAATTCTAGGGGGCGGTTCTCATCTCTGTTTCCAAGCCGAAGAGCCAGCACTGTCCGAAGACATTTCCGTGGCCCTGTGGCCAGCATGACTAAACGCCGAGGCACACAGAACACTGTTACCTTCCCACCAAAGTGGTACCTATTTATCTACTTGCAGTTTCTTGCTTTCAAACTGCTAGATAGGCAGGAGCTGGGGCCAAAGATGGGAGCTCACTCCATCATGCAGCACTCGGGTCTCAAACTGCCGAACTACAGACCTTCCAGTCTGCAGGTCAGCATCTTAACCTCTGAGTAAGCTCTAAATTCCCCTGCAGGAAGGTGAGGAAGGTGTAGTTCTGGCCACTTTGAAAGAGGTGATCATGAGATTTAAATAAATACTGCCCATGGACTAACATCCTATTCTTTGACAATGGGTTCAAGATGAATGGGATACAGCTTCAGGCAATCATAGAAGAGATGACAGCTGTTGGTATCATTGACCATGGTACACATCTGGATAGGATGGCTGGTTTGGGAGCGGGGGACCATGCTTTGGTCATTCTACTCTTACTTAACAGATAGATTCCAGAAGATGGTGCTGGGAGATTTTTGCTTTGCCCCATGGCATTTATGTTATGGTGGTGCAAAGGAGTCTATCCTTGTTGGAATTACAAGTTGCAACAATCCTCCATGCTGTTTTTAACATCAGCATGAAACTGCTGGGAAGGGTATTCTGAGGATTTGGAGTGAGGTGACACCAATATACAGATGATAGCAGCTCTAT